GGAAATTGTAAGATATTGAATATTATTGTACCAAACTAAGTATAAGCGGGTTTTAGGGATCCGTAATAATATATCTGTGGTCAAAATGGTAATATTTGCCACTGAAAAAGACCTGAAGTGGGTCGAAATGTTTCACGACTCTCTTTGATATCTTTACAATATCAATATTTTACAGATCGCGTTTTCATATTAGTACATATTACCCGAGTATATGTAAATTTCACAATTTAACATAAAATTTATATAGCTGCCAAAATATGAAATTATAATCATAATGTAAAAACAAAAAATATAATAACACTAAAGTCCCCTTTTATTTATTGTCAAGATATCGGACGTGCCAGAATTTATATTTATTTTTGATTATTTTGTTTTCTTTAATTTTTGTTTTTATTTTTGTTTTTGTACTTTTATATTTTTTGTTTTTTGTATTTTAATATTTTTTTGTAAGTAAATATATATTTTTTATTATATATATAATTGTAGGTAAATACATATATTTATATTTTGAAAATTTTGTAGCCTTTTATTTTAATTAACAGATCTTTGGCCTCAAATTCTGGCACGTCCGATATCTTGACAATAAATAAGAGGGGACTTTAGTGTTATTATATTTTTTGTTTTTACATTATGATTATAACTTCATATTTTGGCAGCTATATAAATTTTATGTTAAATTGTGAAATTTACATATAATCGGGTAATATGTACTAATATGAAAACGCGATCTGAATGTATTGATATTGTAAAGATATCAAAGAGAGTCGCGAAACATTTCGACCCACTTCAGGTCTTTTTCAGTGGCAAATATTACCATTTTGACCACAGATATATTATTACGGATCCGTAAAACCCGCATATACTTAGTTTGGTACAATAATATTCAATATCTTACAATTTCCATATTTCTGATAACCATTTTGATTCCACCATTTTGAATCAAAGGTCTAATTTAAAAAAAGGACACGATACGATTTTAGAGCAATTTATAACGAGTAAATTAAAAAAAAGCATTAAAATCGGTTGAAAATTATACCGTCCTGGGATTTTTGTCCAAAAAGTGTGCCTTTTTTCCCACTGTGCGCCGGCCAGACCTGGCCCGTCAGTTCATTTTTCTGGTTCGCCAATAATTTAACCGTTTGACTGCTGGTACCAAACTCGCAGCAGAATAAAATTTATAATAGTATACAGGATTTTTTATTTATGTAATAATAAGATTTTGAAGTCTTGATAATTAACATTTTAATTAATATTATATACAATATACATACACTAGTAAAAAAAAGGGAACACTTTCATACCCTAAAAATTGGGCTATTTTCAAACCACTGAAACTCGGCAATAAATCATCGTAGACTCATAATTAAAAAAGCATTTTAAAGCTCGAAGTTTTCATTTTAAAACAACGATTTATTTAAATATATTCATCTTCCTCGTTCTGTGCTTTAAAAAAGAATACATTGTTTTGTTTCTTAAAATTACGTATATTTGACACACTGCAGCTCGGTAAAAAACTTCTCTCGACAAATTTGATACAAATTCCACAATCTACATTTTACTTACAAAGTGCTTTTTTTAATTTCCCTACGATTATTTTTGACCGAGTTACATGACATTGAAGCGAACCATCTATTTTCTTGAAAAATGATGTTTACCGCCGGTATTAGCGTTACCCAATGTGCACTACGTGGAGGTTGCGATCGGATTTTGCACATCGTGTGTGTGTGTGTGTGTGTGTGTGTGTGTGTGTGTGTGTGTGTGTGTGTGTGTGTTTTAGCGTGTGCGTGTGTGTGTGCGTGCGAGCGTTTAGTATTGTGTATTACCTCCTGTCTGATGAATTACCACTTGTAAACACTTTCGCATGTTGTTGCATCTCTCGATCAAGTTTTGCGGAATTTCTTCATACCAAGTACGAAATTTCACAAAACTTTGTTAGTATGTTGTTCAACGCTCATAGCGTAGCAATGATCATCAGGATCTATTATTGTGCTTCTGAAAAAAGTTGTTTCAAGTTATTTGTTAATTGAAAACAATTCATGAAAATTAATTCATCTAATATTTTTATAATAAATGCAAGAATAACTTACATATCATTTTCTTCGTTTGTCGTTGTTTACGGAATTTCTTCATACCAAGTATAAAATTCCGCAAAACTTGATTGAGAGATACATCAACATGCGAGAGATTTTACAAGCAGTAATTCATCAGAGAGGAGGTAATACACAATACTAAATGCTCGCACGCACACACACACACGCACACGCTGAAACACACACACACACACACACACACACACACACAATGTGCAAAATCCGACCGGCAACCTCCACGTAGTGCATATTGGGTAACGCTAATGCCGGCGGTAAACATCATTTTTCAAGAAAATACATGGTTCGCTTCAAAGTCATGTAACTCGGTCAAAAATAATCGTAGGAAAATTTAAAAAAAAGCACTTTGTAGGTAAAATGTTGTAGATTGTGGAACTTGTATCAAATTTGTCGAGAGAAATTTTTTTATCGAGCTGCAGTGTGTCAAATATACGTAATTTTAAGAAACAAAACAATGTATTCTTTTTTAAAGCACAGAACGAGGAAGATGAACATATTTAAATAAATCGTTGACAATGTTTTAAAGTGGAAACTTCGAGCTTTAAAATGCTTTTTTAATTATGAGTCTACAATGATTTTTCGCCGAGTTTCAATGGTTTGAAAATAGCCCAATTTTTAGAGTATGAAAAGTGTTCCCTATTTTTTTGAGTCGATCCCTTGACCCTTTAAAGCACGGTATATCAAATTTAATATACTTTCGAAAATTAAAAAATTTTACTCCGATTTGTTTGAAATTTTGTAATGGCATTTTGTAATCGCTGATTCCGAATCTAATATAAAATTTGTATTTTTAATACTCTGTGTCAAAAAAGCCTGTTATTGTAAATTTTTTAAAATCCTCAAAATCTGATTTTATATTTGTAATTAGCAACCTCAAAACTTCCTACTGTGTACCAAATTTTAAGGAATTCGTATGTACAAAACGTGTTTCCAAGGGTTATATGCAATATATTGTAACAGCTCAGACCCTTATGTTTATCTTAATTTGGCCATCACTGATGTTACAAAATAAAGAGATCGATTTTTTTCAATATAAACTAGGTCGGGTTACTATTTTCTATAATCATAAAAATAAAAACAACTGGGATAAATAATGTATGGTGAATAAAATTTGTGTTATAAACATTATACAGAATATCATTCTTTACGAAAATTCAAAATGCCCGAACCGTATCTGTGGCCGCATAACGTAAACAACGTGGTCTATAACCCCTGGACCGATCTTCGATGGCGAAAGGACGTGGCAGGATTAAAATTAAAATTTCCATGGGAAAGAATACCAGGTATACCGTGCGATCCATACATTTTTGTTCAATATTTAACTTAGAATATCTCGATTGTTTGTCACGGGAAAAAGTGGCACAGCTAGGACTCTTTCCCTTGATTTGACCTCAAGAATATGTTATTACAATAATAAACTTAATAAATTTTTACCCCAACTTTTGTAAACATTTGTATATATTATACATGAAAACTCCAAGGAGATTTCGAGATCATCAAGTTGAATTGTGTAGTAACAGTTATCCTCTGCTAAATAAAATTATCGAGAGTATAAAGTTAAATATTGAAAGAATTACCAAGTATTCTTTGAATATCTCGAAAAAGAAGAAAATGTTTCAGACAAAATTGTTTAAATTAATCAATATGAAAAGATGATGCATTTCAAAAAATAGGAGTTCCATTTTAAAAAAATTAAATGTGACCTTCACGTGACCTTCAAATAACTATACAAGATTAAATGGCATTATCTCATGTCCTGCTTCGAATCAAACAATTTTTGTGTGAAATGTTTCTCTGTATCTTTCATATTTTTCGAGACATTTACCTGAAGCAATTAAAATGGAACTGCCTGTATATACAGGGTATTCGAAAAGAATGGGACCCCCCCCCATTATCTCCAGAAGAACACATTTTCATGGAAGTTGACCTTTTTTTAAACGGAAACCTTTTTTGATCCCGAGTTTAAAAAGAGCGAGAAATTTTACGTTCAGATACGTTGCCATGTCAGTGGTCAAATCTGAGGTTTCCATTAAAACAAAAAGGGGGTTTCCATTAAAACAAAATTAAAGTTGACCTTCAAATAACCCTCAAGTTCAAGGTCAAGTTCATGACCCCTACAACTTTTATTCGGGTCATTTTCCGTGAAAGTGTGTAGTTCTGGAGATAATTGGAGGGTTCCATTCTTTTTGAATACCCAGTATATGTACACGCACACACACGCGCGCGCGCGTGCATTTCTAATTTTTTGCCCTTTATCATTGGTCGTCTATTTTACTTTTAGAGAGGTTTGCCAAACAAATTATCCAATCATACTACGCAGCCGTTTCGTACATCGATAACATGATCGGCAAGCTTATATATCAGCTGCACGTCTCGGCGATCCGAGAAAATACTATTATAATATTAACATCTGACCACGGTACGTTTCTATCAATGAAATAAATGTACACATAGAGTCTGGTACGTTATGTTCTAGTTTTACATTAAATATGCAGGTTGGTCACTTGGAGAACATGCTGTCTGGTCGAAATACAGCAACTTTGACGTTGCTGTGCATGTACCTCTGATAATATCAATTCCAATGATCACGTCAGATAATTATGGCGCTATACCTGCAGATCACACGAGATACAATGAGCAGATTACGAACAATGGAAATAAAATGGAAAGTAAAATAAATTCAGGACACACGATATTAAATGTTGGACAGATTGGTGTTTCGAATAGTAGTTCAGAATACGTGATGAGATATAAAGGAAATCTCTCCTCCGCACATATTCAACGAGAACGTAATAAGTCTACGAAGAACAGTGCGTTACATTTCCAAAAACGCTGTCGAGTTACAGATTCTATTGTGGAACTTGTCGATATATTTCCGACAATCGCGGACCTAGCGGGTGTTCCCATACCGATATGCCCAATTAATGATACAGACGGCGATCGGTTGCATTCGAGAGGTGTCTCTGTTCAAAAGGAACCGCTCGATCCTTGTGGTGAGGGTATCACACTCTTACCGCTTATAAAAAGTACCTTGAAATGTCAGGTAAGATATATTTTTTATTGCATTATTAATCATACAAACATTTCGTACAATACAAAGGTTCTCCATCCTTGAACAATCTGTCCTCCGTAAATTTGCCAATATTTAGAACATACCGTGGAAAAAAGCGGCATTCAGTCAGTACCCGAGACCGGGTATTCAACCTACCCACCGTCCCAACAGCGACAAGCCCCGCTTAAAAGAAATTAATATAATGGGCTACAGTCTGAAAACCAGCGATTATCGTTACACCGCATGGATACCTTTTGCACATGCAACTTGCAAACCAGATTGGGACATCATTATCGCGGAGGAATTGTATGATCACAGAACCAACAGAACGGAAAATTACAATCTAGCGGGCTTACCGGCAATGTTAAGAACAAAAGAATATCTCAGAGCGTTGCTAAAAGATGGATGGAGAAATGCTCTCCCGAAGTATCAAGATCATAACATAATATTTTAATGCAATGAACAATACGTAGCTTTATATTCCTATATTCAAGATTTAAGAGAATTCTCTGTCTGCATATGCTATTAATAAATTATATAATCATATATTGAAAAGAAATGTTTACCAATAATTAATAATAATTTACATTTACGACAAGAAAATGTAAATAACTTGTTTCAGTTATTTATTACCAATGTTTATCAAAAGTGTTTGGAAAACTTACTAATAACTGATGTTAAATATTAAGAGAAACTCTAACGAAAATTAACTGTAAACATTTTTTAAGTAATTCTTATAACGTAAAAAGTCTCGCTGAAGATCTTGCAATATTTATATGTACATACAAATTATACAGATTAAAAAAATTTTGTTCTTATACAAAGCTTTCATATATAAACGTTTGGCGATACATTCACCTACACAAACGCCTTTGAAGTTACATTATCTTGCATTATATGCATTGTATAGTAAAATTTTGCAAGTGTAAACGCGCAACTTGTCTTCGTATTTAATTATATAAATATAAGTAATCTTGACACACAGTACTACTATTATTTTGTATATTATATATTGGATTAATATACAATAAGTTCGTCCCGTTTTTAAGCATTCGCACACTTTATACTGGATGTTAAAAAAATCTGAACACAGTCCAATATCTCGATAAAGAAGAGTTTTACTAGAAAATGTTTCTGACAAAAGTTGTACGACTTCGAGGGAGACATAACATGGTACCATTGGTTTGACCTTGAAAAGTTGGTTGAAGGTCACATGAAGGTCACCTTCAATTTTTTAAATAGAATCCCCTATTGCTTATTATACTATCTTATTCTATTAATTAATGTTTCATAAAAAAGTTGTTCATATTAGTAAAATAAGATAGTATAATAAACAATAGGGGGTTCCATTAAAAAATTAGAAGATGACCTTCATGTAACCTTCAAATAACTTTTCAAGGTCAAACCAATGGTACCATGTTATGTCCTCCTCGAAGCCATACAACTCTTGTCAGAAACATTTTCTCGTAAAACTCTTCCTTATCGAGATAGTCGACCGTTCCAGACTTTTTTAGCGCCCAGGATACGAATTCGATCTGATATCGAGTTCACACTTATATGTCATATTAAACGTTTGAAAGTAGCAATTGAACAGAAAGTTTACTGTCAAATTTGTTGTCGTCGATTAATGTTTGTGAGTCGTGTAAATTTATAAAGATGGATAAAAATAAACATCACTTTCGGTATACCATGCTTTATTTTTGTAAAGGCAAAACTGCTGTTCAAACAAAAAGAAAAATATGTTGTCTACGGAGATGCTATTGATGATTCCACCATTCGTAAATGGTTCCGACGATTCCGTAATGGAAAATGTAATCTCGCGGATGAGACACGTTCTGGACGGCCTTCCAAAATTGACAGTCACGAAATCTTGGTCTTGATTGAAACTGATCGTCATAATACAACTCGTGAGATTGCTGATACCACTGATTAAATGTATATCGGCAAAATAGGATAGGTATAACATTTTTTTTTCAAACGGGACGAACTTATGCATCAACCCAATAAGAAATCAATGCAAAGTATAAATAACATTTTCGTATACGACAACTCTTTCTCACAATCGGTTTACAACTAATAGAGATTTAGATCGACCTACCGATAATACTACGACGCAAAATAATTCGTATAAAATATTTGTGTATAAAGTCTACTCCTCTTGGATTTTACTATTATCAATCGGTGCAGCTACTTGTGCGCTACTCATTCCACTCTGGCGTATTACACCTATATTACTTGTAGTAGGTAGCACCTATAAATTTAAATAGCACAATTATATATTTATGTATCATATATGTATATAGAATACTGAAACACACAAAATAACACATGTACTGTACCTCTATATCTTGGTCCGTGTTTCCGCCTACATTGTTAGCCGATGGGGTGTTTCGATGTGATAATATATTTGGGACTAAATCTTTTATTATTTCTACAGTGCTTGGTTGCACAGGTTTATTCGCATTTATGTAATTCGCCGATTGTCCCGAAACCAATTGGTTCAACTGCGAGACTTGTTGCTAGAAATAGAAAAATTACAAATAACATTTTGAAAAGTACAACTCAATATACATATGAATAACATCTATATTTACATGTACATTGCTATTGTTTAGAATTTGTGGCCTTTGTTGGAAATTCGAGGTTTGCGGTCTTTGCTGAAAATTCTGTAAAATATTCTATATTATACATTTATATATGTATATATGTATACAGGGTGCTCAAAAATTCAATCGACAAATTTTCAGAGATTGTCGGAGGCACCATATGAATCACTTTTTGCAAATAAACCTAGGGTCGAAAACGTGTCATTATGGGTCTGTTTTTTATTGCTGCACTCCTGAACTAGTGCACACTGGTGCAATGAGTTGGAATGAGAGGTAATCTATTTGTTTCATTTTAACTTATTGCACTAGTTCAGTAGTGCAGTAATAAAGAACAGGCCTTATATCTCTACGACATACAGAGTGTTTGGTAGAGTCGGGGCCTCAAACTGTCACAAAATATTCAAGTTTCGTAAAAAATTATTTCAGACAAAAGTTGTAGAGTGTAAAAAGATCTATTTACTGGTGCCATGTATTTGACCTTGGATGGTGTCGCCAAGGTCAGGACGAAGCTGCCCTGAATTCTTTTAATGGAGCCTTCCATTTTTATTGCATATTCTTGTAACCCTTCTCAAGGCCTTTTCAAAGCAAATTTTACCAACTTTAAGTAAGCCATTTCGAAGTTATCAAGCTTTTCATGGTAAAATGTCTCGTCTATGAAGGCAAGAGATCCAAGGACAAATTTGATTCGTAGATTGGAAGATGATCCAGCCAACCAAGGCAAAATCGGTGGCTGATCCAGCCGATGAAAGCAAGATCAAAGGAGTATCCAGCCGATGAAGGTAAGATCAAAGGAGCAACCAGCCGATGAAGACGAGATCAAAGAAGTATCCTGCCGATTAAGGCAAGATCAAACACATAGAACTAGTAAATAGATTTTTTTTACGCTTTACAACTTCTGTCTGAAACAATTTTTTATGGAACTTAAATTCTTTGTGATATTTCGAGGTCCCGACTCTATCGAACACTCTGTATGTCGTAGCGATATAATGACGTTTCCGACCCTAGGTCAATCTCTGAAAATTTGTCGGTTGAATTTTCGAACACCCTGCATTTATATTAAGATGTACTTCAAAATATATTTGTGTACTACATGAAAACACAAAGAAAATCTTATTACTGCCATTATTTAAAACTACTTTAGTTAATATTCTTAAGTATACAATGATACTAATGGACAAGATGGATCATTACCGATGTAACCATTGGATTTCGTATTACGGGTTGTTTGTTGTATGCCACGCCAAGTGCAGCTTGCTTCTCCCAATAATTGTACATATCCATTAGTGCTCGATTCATTATCATCTTATGTTGTTCCGGCGTCGCGTTAGGATACTATGAATTATCCAAGATTATCAATAATTTAAATACCTAAGTAACTGTTTAACATATATGTACTGTGTGATCTAATTCGTATCCACTATTTATACAGTTTCTCCTGAAAAACTGAGTCGAAAAATCTCGAGTCAATTTTTTAAATTATGCTTTATAAAGCAGTTATTATTAATTAAAGATTAATGAAACAGCATCACTTTTATAACGACGTACGTTTGTGAGCTGCGTATTTACTAGTGTGCGTGAAGTAAGCCGCACGCCTTGGTGGCGTTTTGTCGTGCGTCTGTTTAAAAAGCGCAGCTGATATTGACCAATCTTTAGTCAATAATAACCACTTTATGAACCATGATTCGAAAAAATGGCTCGGGATATTTAATTTAGTTTTTTTACGAAGAATATCACTGTATAAATAGTGGACGCGAATTAGATTACACCTTGTATATATGTTGTATATAATATTATATACAACATATGTATATACATATATGTTGTATATATTTTTATACACATATAACAGTATCAAGCACTTACATCTTTAATAATAAGCTGTTGGAAATTTTCATAATCAATCTGCAGAGACATATTTTGAGGTAATATGTTAGGCTGTACGGAGTTCATCATCATGTACTGCTGCAGAAGCATATTGTTCTGATAAGCTGTATTCGCCATTGGATTTATAATTGTATTGAGTGGTCTACCCTTCTTCTCTTCTTCATATTCTAACCAGGCTTGCTTGCGTTCCTCTTCATCCAATTCCTCTTCAGCCTGTTAAATATAAATTTTGTCACGTGGAACACGAATGTACGTTTTTACATAAAAGACAACAAACTATTTCTCACCTTGTTCTCCAATAGAGAATCATGCTCGTGGTAATTTTCTACAAAATCCTTGAACTTCAGAAATATCTCCGCCAAGAGTCTATCTTTAGGTAAATTTAACGTGGGTTTCTCTTTATCACTATATCCCTCGAACACGTACAACTCATTTAGATTGTGATTACTGTAGTGCCGTTCAATCTGTTGTTCGTCCACAACGCGGCACGAAAGCGAGAGCTTTGTAACTTGGCGATTGTAAATTTTCTCCTCCATCGTTCCCGCGGCGAGAAATCGATATACGTAGCACGGTTTCTTTTGCCCGAACCTGATGACAGTTGCACCGATAAATCAGATGCTTGAAATAAATAATTGTAAAAAAAATTGGACAACGAAAAGAACCTGTATATCCGAAATATGCTTTGTACATCATGAGAGGGATTCCAACTGGCATCGAATATAATCACTCTATTTGCCGCAGTCAAATTTATCCCTAATCCACCGGCGCGTGTAGATATGAGGAATAATCTCGCTCTCGTGTTAGTGGGTCTGTTAAATATCTTACACCACATATTTCGATTTTCGGGCGAGGTCTGACCATCCAGTCGGAAATAATCAAGCCCTAGAGACCAACTTCCAGTGTGATTATCGAGGGACTCACTGGGTTCGCCACTCTGAGTTTGGTCGTCTATTTTTCTTAGAAATTCCTCGATTAAAGTGAGAGAATATAAAGATTGTGAGAACACGAGCCTGTCGAATAATAAGCAATACAATAATAAGCAATAGCGAAGCGCGCGGAAATTATTTGTCGAAAAGACAAATACAAGATGCGTACACTTTATCACCGATTTGTTCACATTCTTTTAGGATTCCGAAGAGAAGTAATACTTTAGCAGACACTTTCATATCTTCAAAATGTTCGGGTTGCACAAACTGCAACCACCATTCTGATTCTGTATTTTCTTCTTTAGTCTCTTCTTCTGGCTCCTCTTCTAAAAATTAAATATCTAATATTACACCTTTATCTTGTTAGTTATTTCATTACAACATATATATTTTAATTAGAAATTAAAGAGGCCGTTTAGGACCGGGTATAGGTGTAAGTAGCCAGTTAAATTAAATTATTTAAGTGAATTCATATACCGTATTCTTTCCAACTTATCCTGTGCGCCAGTTACATACTAGTCTTAAAACACAGGTTAATCCCCGTAAGTGGAAGTGTTATCATCAGTGAATTCAGGCTTATAAATTATTTTAATAATGCTACACAGTAGCATCTAATATGATAACCCCCTTCCCCCCTTATTAAAATTCTTATTGCGAAAAATATTACCCCAGCCAGGATTCGAACCTGGGACCTCCCTCAATCCGTGCGGGCGTCTTAACCAGCTCGACCACTGGGGCTGTAGGTAATATTGTTCGCAATAACATATATAAACTTTGTAAACGCTCTCTAGGCCAGCGTGTATAAATACTACAATTTTAACATAGGTCCTTTAAGATATAAAATCAATTAGAAATTAAAGAGGCCGTTTAGGACCGGGCATAGGTGTAAGTAGCCAGTTAAATTAAATTATTTAAGTGAATTCATATACCGTATTCTTTCCATCCTGTGCGCCAGTTACATACTAGTCTTAAAACACTTCCACTTACGGAGATTAACCTGTGTTTTAAGACTAGTATGTAACTGGCGCACAGGATAAGTTGGAAAGAATACGGTATATGAATTCACTTAAATAATTTAATTTAACTGGCTACTTACACCTATGCCCGGTCCTAAACGGCCTCTTTAATTTCTAATTGATTTTATATCTTAAAGGACCTATGTTAAAATTGTAGTATATATATTTTATTTTATTTTTTTTTAAGAGGTGGATCGCCAGTAAATAAAAAACCAATTTCAAGAATTAACTCGACAATGACTGGCAAATATATTTTAATTAATTACACGACGTTTCGGCCAGTAATACTGGTCCTTCTCAAGTGTTGACCCATTAAGTGTGACAGCAAATGGGTGACATGTCGAAGTATGCAATTTTGTGCATGGTCGAATAAGATCACTATCGTAATATGTATAAAGTTGGTTAAAAACTAATAGAAGCGTCAGGTATTGTAAAAGGCTGGTAATATAAACCATTTGCTGTCACACTTAATGGGTCAACACTTGAGAAGGACCAGTATTACTGGCCGAAACGTAGTGTAATTAATTAAAATATATTTGCCAGTCATTGTCGAGTTAATTCTTGAAATTGATATTTTATTTTCTTTATGTTTTATCAATTTAGGCCTTAGTGATCGAATTGGTGAGACGCCCGCCTAGACTGTAGGAAAGTCCAGGTTCAAACCCTGGTTGAGGTAATATTTTTCGCAATAAACTTTCTGTATTAAAACACTGACCGGTTAATGTCGACTAAAAAGCTTGATTATTGTTATCTGTTAATGGCTACTTAAAAGTGACTTCTATGTTTATCAATTTAATTTATTCTTGGATATCAATAGCTGCGTTCGGCATTGCAAATCCGAGGCGTCGGAGTGCTCTTTCGCATTCGAGTGAGCGAGAGGGGAGAATGAGATAGACAGGGAGGAGGAGCACTCCGACGCCTCGCGTTTGCAATGCCGAACGCAGCTATAGTATGTAGAACATTGTTCATGTCACAGAGTCATACCGCCAGGGTTATTTCTTGTTCTACGTTTGGGAACGTTTGAATTTTCTTTTTCATCATCGATTGCCTGAACATCACTGTCACTGTGCGAACTGCTGTCGCTGCTGTCTATGTCGGAAGTATCGTCATTAATAAAATCTTTTAATGAACCCTCCGATTCGCTGAGATCCTTTTTCTCATTCGCCTTTTCCACTTTCTCCGCGTTTAAACGCAGGACTATGGGATGTGTCCAAATCCTCTGTAAGGATTGAAAATCCGCGAAGAGAGTTCCTCCTTGACCAGATGAACGTCTATTGAGGAAAGGCGCATATGAAATCAATATTCAATCTAATTTAGTCATCGTATTTTTTAATTAAGAAGAAAGCATGATAAGTATACAAGATCTTTAATGTTCATGTCCATCAACGCAGATTAATTTTGATCTCGGTTTAGCTTACTTTTTATCTTTTTCTAGTTTCAGGAATTGGAAAAAGAAAAAATCTGGTTTAACTGGAATTAAAGTTAATCTGCATTGGTAGAAATGAGCATAAGACATCTCACCTGGCAAGGTTCTCCAAGTAATACTGGTACATTTTTATTTGCGTATCTGTCAGTCTGACAAATATAACATATTCTTGTTTGGGTGGCAAGAATGGTGTAAGTACGGAGTAATCAAATCTCTGTACACTACCCTCCAACATCTTGTGCAACACGTGTGCACGTTTCTTCATCAATTTAACGTCGTAAGCAGTGGAATCGTCAAACTGGCCGTTTGTTATCGGATTTACAAATCTGTTTAGAAATTCTTTCTTCGTACCCAGTAGATTCGGTTTCACAAACTGCACCATGCAATGGTCTGCAAAGTACAGTTGAACAGATGGAAAAGATTTTAGAAACATATAAATGAAAAAAATGGTGTCAATGTTTTACAAGGATAAATATTTACTTTAAGTCACCCGCTGCTAATTGTCTTCTGGTTGGCCTTGATCTCCTTAGAGGTAAATTGACATTTGCCGTCGCTCGAGAAAAAAAGAAGTTCTATAAATGCTATGTAGTTTACGATACCATGTACGTTTAAGGACACATACGCGGGGGAGGAACAAGGGAGGCCTTCGGTAAGGAGCGAGAATTGCTGCTCGCACTTGACGCCACATACGCTCTATATTTTGAGTATGTATGTACACCAGCAGTTGGATCCACGAAATTTATATACTATGATTAACAACAGAGGTCCACTACCGGCAGGATGGGTGTGGGAAGGGAGCTGAAGGCTTCCTTGCACCCGCGTGCGCGTGTGTATATATATATATATATATGTGTCCTTAAACGTACAGGGATCGTAAACTACATAGCACTTATGAAACCATTTTTTAATAACTTTTTAACGAACAATGAGCGACGGGAAGTGTCAATGGTCTCGACCTCCTTAGAGGTCAAGGTTAACATCAAGGTCAACCAGAAGTCATTTGGTAGAGGGTGACTTATAGTAAATATTGTCTTTTATATGATACATACACTCTATTAAATTGTTTTGTAATGGTGTTCCAGTAAGTACTATGCGTCTCAGCGTTTTCACACTTCTCATGCATTTACTTAACGAAGTATCCTCGTTCTTCAATAAATGACCTTCGTCACAGACTACAAGATCGGCACCTGGATCAACTAGGCATTCCATCATCACTTCTTTCATGCCTTTCCGAATATTTTTATTCGGACCCGTGAGATTACGAAACATTTCGTAGCCAATGATCATCACGCCGCCAGTCTTTTGCCATCTCTGTAACTGGAACTTTCTCTCAATGTTCTTCTTAAATCTGAAAATTTGAATAACATCAAGACTCTGACTACGAAATTGTGTTATACGCTCTTTGAATAAATGTTACAGATAATAAGATAATTATGTCAAAACAACATTCAAATGTTGAATATCAAATACTCACTTTGTCAGCTCGTAAACCTCGATATCATTCAATTCCTTTAGCCACGTATTGTACTCATTTAGCCAATTAAGCACCGTGCTTAGTGGGCAAACCACCAGTACGGTTTTAACATTTGTTGAAGGGTGAGTGAGAAGCGTGTATGTCAGAGCAATCACCTGTAGTGTCTTGCCCAAACCCATACAGTGCGCGATTATACATCCAGAGCCAGATGTACTCTTCACCCTTTCTAGAGACTCGAAACAAGCGTCCCACATAAATTTGATACCCTGCGCTTGATGCGGCTTTAGACACTTTACCAATTCCTCGGGTACAGCAACAAGCTCCTTCTTTGTCTCCGTATTGAAGTCTAAAACGAGCTTTTCCACTTTCTCTTCGCCGGCGAGCCTTATCTCATACATTTCATTATACTGTAATAAAAAGTATCTACGTATAATAAACGTATTAATGATAAATATAAGCTGATAACACGAATGTAGGACATACCACAGCCTGACGCTCGGCGATACGTTTAAGTCTCTCTTCCTCTTCCTTAGCAGCTAGTTTCGTATCTTCCGCTACTTGCTTATCCTTGAGAACTTTTCGTATATTCTTCCGACCACTTTTACCGGGCGTGGATCCTTGTGAATTCTTTATTTCCTCAATGCTACTATCACTGTCAGATGCCATTTTCTTGATTCGTTTTCGTTTCGGTTTTGATCTATAAATTATATAACATAAGCTCAAACATGCAGAATAAGAATAAGCAGAAATAAAATATAGTACATATAAATTTACTTCTTCTCAGCAAGTGAAGAATCCGAGTCCGAATAATTGCTACCATCGCGTTTGCGTCTCTTTCGTTTTAACTTATCCTTTTTCTTCCTGAAATCACTTTCTGAATCGCCTGAAGCTTTAGACGAGTCATCCAAATCCGTTATTTTAACGTCAGAATCTAAATCCGTTACTTTAACATCTGAATCCGAATCTAAGATTCTTCGAGCGACCTTCTTCCTTTTCTTCTTCTTCTTAGATTCGAAGGATCTTTCTTCGTCATTAGAATCACTACTGCAAACAATTAAGAATAAGATTATACATAATTCTAAAGTAATATAAAGTAAGTTACTTACTTATTTTCTTTCGATTTGTTTGACATCTTTTCTTGTTTCTTCTTCCATTTTTCTTCCTCGACCTCAGAATTAGAATCAGACAATTTTGTTGTCAATATCTTGTCCTGCCTCCAATCGCTTTTGTCTTTCTTGCTCTAAAACAAAAGAATTACATTTCTTGCAAAGTTTGTCTTGTACAGATGCATAATAGATTTGTGATATAATAATTAATAATTGAAAAGCACAGTTTCTCTTCTAACTAGGTTAGATTTTCTATCTATATTCTTTCTATTGATATATCTTATTATAAACAAAAATATCTTACCTCATCTTGTTTTGAAGTTTTCTCTTCGGTCTTCTTTTTCTTTTTCTCTACTGTTTTACCTTTATCCTTATTATTAATGCTATCATCACTGTCCACCATTACTTCCTTTTCTAAATGTAAAAACACATAACATAAAATATTTATGATAAACTACATGTGTGATTATGAATAGTATTACCATTAATCTTAAAAAGGTTTAAACATAAAGATTAAGAAATATTGCTAAACGTTTATTTCAGCAAAATTGTTAGATTAAAAGAGTTGAATCAAAAAAAGACTACATGAAAAACAATGTTACAGATATCAAAAAGCAGAATTATTAAAAAAGTCGCTCCATTTTAATATTGAGAAATCAACAAGATTATAAATTACAGAAATTTAAATTTAAAACTTCCTGATGAATTAAACATTAAAAGTGCAGTTAATACCACAACTTTTTTTGATTAAATTTTATATTAATAGAATCTCATTTATAATTCAATTTCGTATAAACTTGTCGGATTAAAAGTTATGACGAAAGAAGATGCTTAGTCTTTTTCAAAAATTAATATTAATTGTATTGAATCCAGAGCAAGTTGTATCATTTGAACGGTTTACATTTCAAAATGCACAATAATTCTATTTCCATTAATATCAAATCGCTTACCACATGAATCAGAGGAATTTAGTAGATTCTCTCTCGCTATTCTTTCTGCCTCTGATAATAGAGCTTCATTAGACACAGGCATATCGTCTACTTTACTTATTTGAGGAACTGATTCTTCAGTATCAGAATCTATTTCTACATTTGGCAAGATATCGTCATTCTCTATCAAATGATCCATCAAAGACTCCTCTTTGTCTTTTGCCTTTCCCTTTCGCTTATTTGAGCTTTTCAAAATTTGTGATGTCGAATCGTCATCAGTCAACGAATCGGAATCTTTCTTTGCACTTTTCTTGCGTCTTTTTTCAAGTTTATCCAGATTAATAAGACTGTAAAGGATAAAGGAAATCAGGTAATTTGGATAATAACCAACTAGTACATAAATTGAATTTGTCATTTACAAAATTTATTACATAAGAAAATGTAAGTTTGTCTCATTAAAGGCATGATATCAAGTTTACGATATACAAAGATTTTAATGCGCAGAAATTATTGAATATACAATATATATCGCAGATGTTATATATAAATATACTGTTATATATAAATACATTCATTTTAAAGAGCACATTTTTATAATAAAAACCTGTACTCATCACGAGACACGGTAATGTCTCGCGCAAAGTATAAGCACAGCTAAAACCGCGCGCGCGAGACCAACCGTGTAGTTTACGCGAGTAAGCGAGTTGACAGGCCCTTCATCTTATATGTACTTCATAATCATGTCCAATGAAATCATAAATGACATATTTACTAGAATTGAAGTTTCTATTTGATTTTTACAAATACACAGATCTATGTATGTATATCAATAAAGATCTAATCAAATACTCTTAGACAAAATTGAAAATTTAGTTAATGGAACCTGAACTTTATCGACATAATACGGAAAAAGTGTCTAACGATATTTCTTAAAAGATTATAAAGTAATAATCAACAAAATTGTGGATTTTTATGTCCATTGTTGTAAATAAACTATAGTTAACTTTATTATTCATCTTTATTCTAGGTTCAAGATTTTTTTTCTCATTAATCATTTTTAATTTTAATAGAAAACTGAATTTTGTATTTCTCTACACATCTGCAAATTTTACAAAGATTCTTCAATCAAAGTACGGAAAAAAATGTCCAATTTGACTTATATTTGATATATAATAGAAAAACATTGGAATATTTTATAAATCGTTCTGCAGGAACAAAAATAACGCTAACAGTATATTTATTACATTGCATTTCCTATATTCCCAACATTCATATAAGAAATTTAACACAAGCTCATACAAATTAAACTCTGCTACTTTAATATAATCATACCATAAGTTTGAAATAAATATATAATTCTATCATACATGAAACTAAGATAGAAATTCAATTATGTTAAATGATGCAAGATAATGGACATAGGTTTTACAGAAAATTCTCGATACCTTTTAAATGCCTTATGTTCCAAATATTCTCTTGACTTTTCTAACGCACGTGAATGGCGTTTAAGAACCTTTATGTTTAATCGCTTTACATGAACTGCGCAAGACATTCTCAATTTCTTATCATTGTTGTAGTGGTAATTTTTGTCGAGACAATCTCTAAGTCGTCTCTTCTTTAGCCTGGCAGATAGAGATAGAGATTCTCTATCATTCTCAGGCTCATGACTACGTTTAGTGCTCTTCGAAACGTTTGCCGTGTCTAACAAAACCAGCTCGGAACTGGAGGTTTCACTAGAGGTAGATGCCAGGAGCGATAGCTTAGCTTTGGCATTTTTTTCAGAAGAATTTGATATAGACTCCTTGTCGACCAGTCCATCCGATTCCGACGACAAAAGCAGAGAATCGTCTGAATTTGATTCCAAAAGAGCTTCCTTGGCAGCTTCTTCTGCCTTGGCATCCTCATCTGAAGAACGCAATTCTTTGCGAGATTTCTTGTCCAGTCGATTATCGTTTTCTCTTTCAACTTGAGTTTTAGCTTTGATAGTAGTATCCTTTACAGCATCGGTATTCATTTTTAGAAAATCTGGAAGCATTACTGTGTTACTATCGCTATTGACATCAGAATTAGCTCGCATCTCGTTTTTCTCTTCAATTCGATTAGTATTGTTTACAATTAAATCTTTAGTTGGTTCAGTTATACTGTTTTCAGGCAATGTGTCGGACATGTCAGAATCCGTTGCCAGCAGAGCTTTCTTTGCCAATGCCTCAGCATCATCGAGAGATTCA